TGGAACTATGAAGACACATGAGCTGTCCTTGAGACACAGACTTCCCTACAGGTAAGTGTAGCATGAATATAAAAACCCAGAGACAGACACTGGGCTTCAAGCTGAAGATCAGAAAAGCAAAGCAGCCAAGCCACTAGAGAGTTCTCACCTCTATGAAATCTTCAGACTGAAAGAGCGAGTTCCTGTCCCATCCCACCTTATATTCCTCTCTAGTGCTGGTATTCAAGACGTGCACCACCACCTCCCAGCCTCGATGGCTAACTAGTGGGGCTGCTGGGATTAAAGGTGTGTGCCACCACTGTGTGGCCTGTATGGTTGATTAGGGTGGCTAGCTTTGAACTCTGATCTTCGGGCAAGTTTTATTTATTAAAACACAGTAAAATATTGCTTTAGATAAGAAAATCTGAACTCTCTAAAAACATTTGTTTTTAGGCCAGGGAGGTGATTCCAAAGGTTAAATGCTTGCTGGGAAGGTCTGGCAACCTGAGTTCAGTCCTTGGGACCCACATGAAAGTGGAAGGAGAGAAATGACTCTTGAGAGTTGTCCTCTGACCTCCCCAAGGGCCCCATGACACTCGTGACCCACCCCTCCTCCCTCCCTCCCTCCCTCCCTCCCTCCCTCCCTCCCCCCCCCCCCTCTCTCACACACACACACGCACACACACACACACACACACACACACACACACACACACACTACAGCTCATGTGCCCATGCACAAACAGAGATAATTGAAATGAAGCCATTTATTTTAGCTAGGAGTGTTTGTGCTTCTTGGTTCCATGGGGGTCGTGCAAAGATGGGAACAGACCACTGAAATCTAGCAAACCGGAAGCAAACTATATTCCAGGAAAAAAAGAAAAAATAAAACAAAACCACCGCGGGTCAGCTAGCCGAGACCACGGCCAGAGATCTGGCTTCTGCAACTACTACAAATGACAGTTTTTGAACTCCCCCTTTTTATAGCAATAAGCAACAAGCATTAGGTATGAACAAAGGAATTTTTACAATCTTCAGGTGAAACTTAGATACAAATTGCCTTTCTTTGCAATTTCCAGTAACAGGGTTTTTAGTTAGACTAGTGTTTGTATTTTAGGTCTTTGTTTCTGCCTGGCGCTCCCTGGTGGTGTTTACCCAAGCTCTGCACTCCCCCTAAGGCTGCCAGTTTCCTGTAGCAGAAGTCACATACATCCCACCTTCTAAAGGGTAACACTGCATGTATCCGGTGTTGATCACAGGTGACCTGGGGTGTTATCTTGGGGCTAACCCTCATTTTACAGAAGGAAACTTCAGCCTTTTAAACAGAGCAGCCAGTTGTAAAATGAAATAACCCACTGCTGTTAATAGATCCTAAAGCTGCTGAGAAAGCTGTTGATAGTTCGTTTAGGTTTGCAACGTTATATGTCTTTCTACATTCTAATTTCCACCTTCTAATTCCTGGTGCCTATATTTCTGTATTCCTATTCTTATTCCTAGAATCCTCACTGCGTACCCACAGTCCCAGCACCAGGGAGGCTGACACAGTATTTTCACTTATGTGGGTGTTGGAGATCTGATATCAGATCTTCATCCCTGAGCCGCAAGGCCAGCTTGGGCTACCTAAGGAAATAAAGGCCAGCCTGGGCTCCAAAAAGACAAAGGAAGCCAGGCCAGGTGGTCCAGGCCTGTAACCCCCGCTACTGGGGAGGTTGGAGGAACACAACTTCAAGGGCAGTGGTCAGTTGAGACCCCGTCAGAAAAACAAAAATAAATAAAGGGTGCACTAGACACGGTGAGTGCTGCACGCCTGTAATCCAGCACTCCAGAGGCAGGTGTACCGGCTGCAAACTCAAGGACAACCTGCTTTATGTGGAGAGTTCTAGACGAGCCAGAGTTACCAAATAAGTCTTAAACACCAGCGCTGCTGGAGCACTTGCCTCTCCCGCCTCAGTAATCGGGGTTTGCAGACATTTCAACTTGAGTCTTCCAGAGTGTACTGTCAATTTCCTTCTTTAGCAAAGGAAAACATTTCAGGTGCGTGACTCCCAAACTGGCAAACGACATTGTCAACTTTTTTTTTTTTTTTTTTTTGGGTTTTTCGAGACAGGGTTTCTCTGTGGCTTTGGAACCTGTCCTGGAACTAGCTCTGTAGACCAGGCTGGTCTCGAACTCACAGAGATCCGCCTGCCTCTGCCTCCCGAGTGCTGGGATTAAAGGCGTGCGCCACCACCGCCCGGCCATTGTCAACTTTTTTATTCTTGACAAATTTCCTTGACTTTGCTTCAATAAACAGGGTATAAGGGAGCTGTAAACCTGCATAGCTGCGCCACCTCCTGTCCAACTGTGGAACTGCATCTCATGCATGCGTTCCTGTCTCAGGAGCACTTTTTAAAATTATTATTAGTCTAGTGGTAAAAAAAAATTAAATAAAATTATTATTATTGCTTGTTTGTTTGTCTTGTTTTTCGAGACAAGGTTTCTCTGTGTCTGGTTGTCCTGTAACTTGCTCCGTAGACCAGGCTGGCCTTGAACTCAGAGACCCGCCTGCTTCTACCTCCTGAGTGCTGGGATTAAAGGCGTGCGCCACCACTGCCAGACCATTTTGTTGATTTTAAACATTTTTAAAAATTAAAACATTACTACATCATCTATCCTCTTCTCTTTCTTCATCCAACACATCCTCACTTAAAAACATATTTTTAGGCTGGGCAGTGGTGGCACATGCCTTTTATCCCAGCATTTAGCAGAGGTAGGCATATCTCTGAGTTGGAGGCCAGCCTGTTATACGGAGAGAGTTCCAGGAGAGCCAAGGCTGCACAACAAAACCCTCTCTCAAAAAACCAAAAGAAAAAAAGGTGGATCTACTTAGTTTCAAATTAAAAACATGTTGTTAAATTTTGTATTCATTTATTTTGTGTGGTCGTTTCGTTCCAGGCAAACGCCTATGCGCTATGTGCATGCAGAGCTCAAGGAGGGCAGATAGGAACATCGGATCCCCTGGAACTGCAGTTACTGAAGGTTCTGAGTTCACACACTGACCGCGTGAGTGCTGGGAACCCAACCCAAGTTGTCTGGAAGAAGAGTCAGATCTTAACCATTGAGCCATCATCTCTCCGGCCCCTACTGGGTGTTTTCTCACTGCCATGCATGCACACGTTCACTCCGCATGGCCACACAGACGAAAGCATGTACATTTCTTCATCCACCGGGGCCTGGACAGAGTCAAGGGCAACGGAACTACCCACAGTTTCCACTCTGTTTTGTCTCCATGTCTGAGGAATACTTTTTGCCAGACTCAGAGTTCTTTCCATGCGACGTCATGTATGATGTGTGTGTGTGTGTGTGTGTGCATGGTTGTTCACATGAGCACGAGGCACATGAGCAGGGTGCAGGTGCCTGTGGGTACGTGAGTGTGTGTACAGGTATGAGGCTGATATCATAATCTACTCAAAAACGCCACGAAGAGAAGTCACGCCATGCAACAGGGCTCACATAGGAGGTTCATTGGAAGAGGAGAGAGAAGGGGCAGAGAGAGGGGCAGAGACTGGTCCCTGGGGACAAGAGTGGTGGAAGAGAGAGATGGCTGGAGAGAGGGGAAGAGAAAGAAGAAGAGAGAGGAAGAGGTGCAGAAGTGACCTCGTGGGAAGGGAGAGGAATAGAGAGAGAGAAGAGAGAGGAGAGAGGGGGGGAGAGAGGGAGAAATGGGAGAGAAAGGGAGAGAAAGGAAGAGAGAGCGAGAGACAGGAGGTGTGTAAGGTCCATCTTTTATAAGGGAACGTAGCAAATGTGCACCGAAGGTGCTCTCAGCGGCTGCAGCTGAGAATGTATCCCATCAGGACCCCAAGGGCAGGCCAGTACAGACGCCTGAATACTAACAGACAGACTTTTCTTTTGGGGCTGTCAGCTCACATACCAAAAAATGGCTTGGAGACTTATTATTAATTATGAAAGCTCGGCCTTAGCTTTGGCTTTCTAACTAACTCATAACTTAAAAATAACCCGTAGTTTTAAATCTACATTCCTCCATATGCCCTCATCTCTTCTTTGTCCACCCCGGTTCCTCCATGTCTGGATGGGCACACTGCCTTTCTTCTCTGAACTCTCTGCACCCTGAAGCCCTGCCTAAGCTTTGCCTGCATAGCTAATGGCCATTTGGCTCTTTTTAAAAATTAATTATTATTTTATGTGTATGGATGTTTTGCCTGCATGTGTGTCTGTCTACCTCACGGCTTGGGAGCAGATGGGCTCCCATGGGACTCCAAAGGACCCGCTCCCTGGGCTCCACACTCAGCCTCATTGGCGGTGGTGGTGGTACGGAGAATGAGGACCCAGGGTGGACAGATCTCGAACTCCCTCTGAGTACGCCCCAAACCACTCTGGCCCCACTCCCCGCTTCCTTCCCTGCTGCGTGCCATTTCCCTGCCAGGCCTAACCTTGCCAAGATTCTCCATCAGCTGTCTCCCTGGCCTAATGTTTTGTCCTTATGTTTCTGTTCCCTCTTACAACGTCTAGTCAGCTGACACAGGTTTCTAAGACTGTCCTATTTGTTTCCCTGTTAAAATAATGTGGCCACAATATATTTATATAAGTGTGTAACTGTGTTTTCATGATGTGGATTTAAGTTTTTAAGTGCACGTGTGCTTCCAGATTACAGCAGCTCTGGAAAAATACAAACACAGGGGGAGCCACCATTTTAGAGTTCCCACGTGTGCTAGTATTCTACTGGCAATGGTAAACTGTAACTAATTGGATAAAATACACATCTAAATATAGCTTATATGCCCAGTTTAAAATACCACGTAATGGTACCTGGTTCTGAAGTGCCTTTACAAACCTGAGACCACGGCATTTTAACAGGAGCTTCCCACACAAAGACACGCCAGCTTTTGCAGCACCCTATGTGTCCTCCAAGGAGACAGAAGACCTTCCGCCTTGCCTCTGGGTTTGGCAAAGCCAACTGCACAGAAGCAAAGAAAGGCCTTTCGCCTTTCCAGCTTTCTGAAGGCTTCACTCGGGGAATCAATCTGCTCATCCTGCCAAGACAGGTAAACTAAATCTTCCCCTCACAAAACAAATCTTTGGGCCTCTCGTACTCAGCAGCTAACGGCAAGCCCTGCTTCTGAGACTGGTGTTCTCCAAGGACAAGGAGAGGATTTGAGATTGCCTGCTGGCTCATGGGTTGCTCATTTATTCCTCCCAGATCTGTCTAAAGGCATTTGACAACTCAAGGTACTGTTCTTTAACAGGATTTATAGTCCAGGATTAACAGGTTTCAATCTCTAGAGGGTCAGAGTTCCTAATTTCCTTTAACCTAAAGCAATAGCCTTTTGCTATGAAATCTGTCCCAGTTCCCTTATCGATTCCTGAAAAAGTTCTATTGCTACATCAGAATCAGCTCTGCTAAATCCAGAGTTCCCAGTTCCTTTAACTGTTTTACTGCTACACTGACCCCAGCCAATTTCAAGCATATTTTACAGGTTACTCCTGCTTCCTAGGCCAAGACCAACCTACAAAGCGCTCCCAGGACAACACCAAGTGCACCTGTACCAGCTCCTGGGACTTCACCATTGGTACCAGCTGTCAAGGACACCTGCTAAGTAAAATCTGGTTTCATCTGCTATTGTGTCTCATCCCATGGCTAGCCCCATTTCATAGGGCCAGTAATAACAATATTTTTTTCTCCTAGACACCTGCCTTCACATCTCCCTCAAAAAGCAGCTGCCTGAGGTCTCCAGGATGACAGGAAACCGGATGTCACCCCAACCACCCCTTTTGCTGAGCGTGAGCAGGCCAACTCTCAGCTCTCCCCTCTCCCACGTTGTCCCATGGCCACAGGAAGTAGTCAGATTTGAGTCTACACTCCTTTTTCCAAAGAGAGAGCCTAAAATGTTGGTCATAATTATCACCTCAACTTCCTGTCACCCTTATATCCAAAGAGTCTGGAATGTAATGTTAAGTTGGGAACATCACCTCAGCTCCTGGCATCCATCCCAGCCCCCTAGCTTGGGAATTGCATTGGTATAGACTCCAAATCCTGACTCTCCAGAACACCCCACAGGGTATTTAAGTGGGCACCCAGAGGAGAAACACTTTGCACATGCTCCCCGGTTTTCTGTATCCCCTGCCGTGCTCTCGGCCACTCAAAAGTACTGCACTTAATAAAAACATGGGCATTTTAATTTGGTTTGATTTGACCTGATCGGAATTTTTTTTGTGCCAGTGGAGTGGCTGGTCTTAGGAATTTTCCTAACATATGGAGGTCCCACCAAGGTGCTCTTTACCTCTGAGCTACCTCTCCAGCCCTCACTTCAGCTCCTCAGTAAACCAATCCCAGTGCTGCATCTGCTTCAGCTCTGCAGTAAACCAATCCCAGTGCTGCATCCTCGCTTCAGCTCCCCAGTAGACCAATCCCAGTGCAGCATCCACTTCAGCTCCACAGTAAACCAATCCCAGGGATGCATCCTCGCACAGTGTAAAGGAATATCCTATAACAGCTCTCCACGTTCTTTATCAAGACAGAGTCTCTCAATTGAAGCCAGAGCTTGCCAGTCAGCTAGTAGCTAGCCAGCTTGTTCTGGGGACCCCGAATCTGCTTTCTGAGATCTGGATTTACGGGCAGGCTACTAGGCCCACTTGGCATTTATGTGGATGCTAGAGATTCACTACCAGGTTCTCACCCTTGTTCGGCAAATGCTTTTTTTTAACCAATGAACCATCTTCCCCAGCTCTAGATTTAGAATTTGTGACAGCCAGTTTTCTTCCTTCTGCAACTTGAAAGTCCTGCCACTTCTAGTGGGAAATCAGCTTCCATTTGAATTGTTGTGCCCTTAGGAGTGCCTTGGGGCATTTTCACAAGGCCCCCTTTGCCTTTAGCTCTAGTTTAGCAATGCCTCTGGGCACAGATTCTTGAGGAGGGGGGAGGGGACAAGAGAGAAACAGACAGAGGGAGAGAGGAAGTCTGAAAGGGCCCACAGATCGCGTTTGGCGCCTGGGCATGATGTACTGGCACAATGATACCATACCCGCAATGATGTAGCTGCTGGGGTTGAGCTGCTGAAGGCAGGCTGGCAGAGGACCTGGTTTCTAACAGTTGGGAAATGTGCTCACTGGGTAGAGCTCTACCTCTCAGATGGGGGTGGGTCTTAGACATCCATTCACAAGCCCAGACCAAGGACATCCATGGCGGTTGAAGCATGGCTGGTCACATTGTATCGACAGTCAGGAAGCAGGGAGAGATGAAGCCTGAAGTTTAGCTAGCTTTTTTCTTTTTATTCATTCTGGACCCATTGCCTATGGATGCAGCTGCCCATATTCAGGGGAGGTGTGTGTGACTGGAGTGGAGGGCTTGGAAGAGTGGGAGGTGAGGGCAGAGGTCAGGGATGAGACTCCTGGGAGCAGTGAGTGAGGCCGTGGCTGTGGCAGTCCAGAAGGGAGAAGGCGCCATGCTGGTAAAAATATTCTCAGGTCAGGTACAGGTCTTGGCATTGCAGGAACAAAACTGGTTCCTCGGTGAACAGTCTCCCTTACTCCCTCCCTCCCAACCTCCCTGACTCTCTAGGCTGAACCCAGGGCCTTACAAATGCTAGGAGTGAATCCTGGTGAGTTTGACATAGACTGCAGCCGCCAGACAGGAAAGCCTCAATTGAGGAACTGCCTAGATTAGATTAGCCTGTCTGTGGGCTTCCTGGTGTTGACAGCCAGAAATGAGCTCAAACTGGATTACAGATGCCATTAGAGAAAGTCAGCATTCCTCCGAACTTGTGAAACTGGTTCCCACCTGCCAAAAGGAAACTCTCCCTTCCCTCTGGCAGAAGGGATGAACAAGTGGATGTCTGTGGTGTTATTGTTGGCAGTATACGCAGTGCCACAAGTGCCTGTCACCCGTACTAGCATCCTGGCTCTTTTCACATCTCCAGGCCAATCTCCTCAACACAACCGTTTGTTCTCTTTATGGGGGAAGGTTTCCCTTCTCTCATGGATAGCCCTGGTCATGTCCAGTCTGTTTCTCTTCCTCTCTACTCTGGACTCCTCCAGGTGCCTTTGGGCATTTCCTCTCTCTTATTCACAATATAAACCTCCCTAACAATGGAGAGGACATGGCAGTATCTTCACCACGCCCCCTCATATGTGTTGGTTGGTTGTGTCAACCAACACCAGCTAGGGTGGTCTGGGAAGAGCAGCCTCGACTGAGAAAACGCCTATCTTCTTTTAGGTTTCCATTGTTGTGACAGTAGTTAACTGACTTCTCCACCTGCCATGGCAATAAACCCAACTGAACGAAATTAAAGAGTAAAAGGCAGGTTTATTTAGGGATTAATTGCTCCTGGGTGAGTCAGGGGTCTGTAGTTGGAGGTCCAGGAAGTCGTGTGGCTGGACAGGGTTAGAAACTTTGTGGGAGCTGGGTGGGAGGAAGTGACATGCTTGGTAAGGTATCGGGAGTATCGGCTAGATTTGGGGTCCCTTAGGTGTGTCTTGAGTCCAGTGGTCACTTTGGAATCTGGAGCTAAGTGTTTGCTTTGTCCAGTGTTTTGCCAGGGCTTTTGAGAGCTCGGGCTTCTGGTGGGAATCTTTTGGTCGGTTTTTCAGATTCTCTGCAAGAGCCAGCTTCCAGCTGGAAGGGGGGCAGAGATCTTTTTGTCCCAAAACCTCCAGTCTAACCAAAGCCATGACCAAAAGCAACTTGGAAAGGAAAGGGTTTATTACACAAGTATCAATAACAGTCCTTCATGAAGGGAAGTCAGGGCAGGAACCTGGAGGCAGGAGCTGACTCGGAGGCCATGGAGGGGTGCTGCTTGTTAGGAAAAAATCCTAAGACGAGCCGCTCTGCCAATGCACAAAAATCCAGTTAAAACAAATTAAACCAAATTAAAATGCCCCTGATTTATTAAATACAGTGCTCTTGGGTGGCCAAGAACATGGCAGGGAAGACAGAAAACTGGGGAGCAAATGCAAAACCCCGGACCATGTGTTCCTCCTCTGGGCACCCACTTAAATACCTTTGGGAGTGGTCCTGACCCTTCCCTTGGGAGGGGTCAGTACCTGGCATGCTGGGATTTGGAGTCCAGACCAAGGCAACTCCCAGGCCAGGGGGCTGGGATGGATGCCAGGGGCTGGGGCGATGCTCCCAACTTAACATTCCAGACTCTTTGGATATAGGGGTGACAGGAAGTTGAGGTGATAATTATGACCAACATTTTAGGCTCTCTTTGGAAAAAGGGCATAGACTCAAGTCTGGCTACTTCCTGTGGGCATGGGGCAATGTCGGGGAGGGGAGAGCTGGGTGTTGGTGAGTCCGCATTCAGTGGGAGGTGTGGCTGGAGAGGTATCCTGTTCACTGTCATCCTGGAGATGCCAGGTATCTGTTTCTTGAGGGAGGCAAGAAGACAGGTGTCTAGGAGGAAAAAAATTCTCATCATTGGCCCTATGAAATGGGGCTAGCCATGGGATGAGACACAGTAGCAGATGAAACCAGATTTTACTTGGCAGATGTCCTTGATCCAGAAGGTGTCCTTGATCCAGAAGAGTTGGCAGCTGTCCTTGATCGAGGAGAGTTGGTAGGTCCTTGATCCAGAAGAGTTGGTAGGTGTCCTTGATCCAGGAGAGTTGGTACCAATGTTGAAGTCTCAGGAACAGATGCTGGCACTTTTGGTGTTGTCCTGGGAGCGTCTTATAAGTTGGTCTTGACTTAGGCAGCAGGAGTAACCTGCAAAATATGATTAAAACTGGCTGGGATTAAAATTAAAAACCTTGGATTTTACCAGACTTGGTTTTGTGTAGCGATAGAACTTTTCTAGGAACAGAATTTATATCTTGGTGTCATAGGTTAGAAGACTATTAGAGGAAATTGGGAACTCTGACCCTCTGAAGAATAAAACCTGTTAATCTTGGACTACGAAGTTTGTTAAAGAACAGTACCTTGAGTTGTCAAATGCCTTTAGACAGATCTGGGAGGAATAAATGAGCAAAAAATGAGACAGCTTTTGGTTAGCAGGCAATCTCAAATCCTCTCCTTGTCCTTGGAGAACATCAGTCTTAGAAGCAGTATTTGCCATTAGCTGTGGCAAATTTGTGCGAGAGGCCCAAAGATTTTTCCTGTGAGGGGGAAGAATTTAATCTACCTGTCTTGACAAGATGAGCAGATCGATTCCCTGGATGAAAGGTAACTTTTTGCTTCTATGCGGGTGGCTTTGCCAAACCCAGAGGCAAGGCAGAAGGTCTTCTGTATTCTTAGAGGACACATAGGGTGCTGCAAAAGCTGGCGTGTCTCTGTGTTAGAAGCTCTATTATTCTTAAAATGCGAATGAACACAGAGAGACGGAAGTGGGGGCGGGACAAACTGTGTGGTCACAAATGAACAAAGAAAGAAAAGCGGAAGCCTGGGAAAGAACAGGAGCGCCATACTTGAAAAAAAAATTCGGGATTTGGAGCATAATTTGCTTTAAGTTAGATTGGTCCCATTTAATGGTTTTTAAGTGCCCACTTAAGGGTGTTTGAAATCAGCTAGGAATCACAAGAAACCCACTTCAAATGCGTGCCTGTGACACGAGCCTGGTGCAGTGCGTCCACTGGAAGGGCGCGGAGTCAGGAAACCTGGGTACATGAGAAATTGGTTGGGAACGTCTTCTGTCACAACCCCCCCCCCCCAAAAAAAATCTCGTCTCAGCAGGAGGCCTGGCCTCTGCTGTGTGTGTGTGTGTGTGTGTGTGTGTGTGTGTGTGTTAGGCATGGCCATGACTTCAATAAAAGCTTGAAAAGCGAATGGGTCACCCC